ATATATATACATATATATATATAATGATAAAATAATAAAAATATACGTAAAAAAAATATAATATTAAAATAATAATATTAAAATATGAAGTATTAAAGAAGAATAGAACGAAATAAAATAAAATAAATATAACGTAAAAAAGTTTAGAAAGTTCCTTGAATTTTGTCCATTGTTTAGAATGTAATCGCAATATCGATACTGTTTCTTCGATTAGAATGAGCTATTTAAAAAAAATCAACTTTTATAATAACTACGAGGACATACATCAAAATCATATTTACGTTTCTTTATCTGACTCCATTAATTCAATTGTTTGTAGACTTTTATTAGAGATTCTCTCTTGAAATATACGTGATATGCTAAAAATTTCATAGTTATGTATGTATTATGAGATATCAACAAAGACATCTTGTCCACGAATAAGATTGACATTTTACAGATTGACATTTGCCGGATAAAATAAGACATCAATTTCCGTTAATTGGATCGCAGTGGCTCTTATACATTGTTCATTATCAAAGTGACAATGACAACTGCAGTTTGATGCACTTGGACGTTTTGTCGAGTATAATTGCATCACGATGCTACTACTGCTAATTGAACAATAATCAACCGCGACAGCAATTATAAGAAGAGAAAGTAAAACAATTTTTTTAGGGCGATTTCTCAAGAATGATCTGTAATGTAATGTATGACGCAGGAATCGCGTAATAACGAAGTAAGCCAAATTTCCGTGTTCGCAATCCGTAAGTTGCAATTGTGGATCAATGTCGATTTCACAAAGTTGCGTTACGCAACGGTAAAAATCGCGCCATCGCGCCGGTAACGAACCGACGCGACCGTTGCATATTCGGCAGGAATTCGGGCGTAAGACGGTTCTTAAAATACTTGGACTCGATCGTTGCATAAAGCAGCGCCGGTCGATCGGCGAGATTCGCGGCTATCGGCTTGCAACAGTTTTGCATGATCGTTTTGCGTAATGACGACGAGGTAGACGATGATGACGATGACGACGATGATGACGATGACGATAAAAAGAAGAAGAGAAAAAGGGAGATAGGACAGGAGAGAAAGAGAGCAATGACTCGTGCAAAACCTTTTGGGACTCGTTTGAGACAGTTAGCCGCGCCGCGAGGGAGAGAAAGAAAGAGAGAGAGAAAGAGGAAGAGAGACGGGGAGAGGTACCGTGGGAAGAGCGAGCGATATGCATACCCAATGACCGGATGACCTTCGCTCGTTGCATAAAGATGCCTTTAATTGACGGCGCGCGCGAAAACACGTTCGGCACGGCATGGCTCGGCGACGCTCGATAAAGCCGAATGAACGAAAGAACGAGAGCCGCTGGACCACCTCGATGGGACACCTAATTTGTTTAAAGCGGCAGACGAAAGCGACGTGTACGTGCCTTTAATTTAGGGTCTGGCAAAGAGCCGAATCGGTCGATGGCTAATTTATCACGTCCGCGTAATATGTAGCGGAAAGCAAAACGGCGATTCGATAATTGCGACATATACTTGGTATAAAGTATTCATTGGATGTTTAAACCGCGATGCGATGCGGTGGTTGCTTCGGCTATGTATGTACTGGTGACGTCAGAAGCGAGAAATTGTATCGGTCACAAATTATGCTCTCTTAAAGGACATGACTTTTCGAAAGAGAGATTAAAAGTAAAACTTGTGGCTCAAGAATATACAAGGAAATGGAGAATAATTTATAAGTCATAATGAAATACCGACTGACTGTAGTCGACTGACATTTTCGATAGAAAACATTGTAAAAATGAAATTATAATTATTGTAATTTTATTTATAATTTTATTTCATTAACCTTTAGAGAATGAAAGTTTGTTTTTAATCTATAATTTTTCCTTGAGTAAAATTTATTATAATTCATTATTTCATTATATTTTTTTTCATCTCAAAATGTAATACTGTTTCAGCGCCACTGACTTTCCCGTTCTGCGAAGGTTAACAAAGATAGATAATAAAAAGATATTGTTTAAAATGTACCAAGAAATACAGTGATTTTATATAAGAATGGCAAAAGTAAAAGTTTAGTGGCTATTTGCTTAAATACTTTTTATATTATTTGAAATAAAATGTGAAAAGGATATGTCATTCACGTTGCAAGCTCGACTCTTGTAACTTTACGTAAAGTTATTGTTCTTGGCGTGTAGTTTCTTTTTCAACGAAATAATAATTTTCGCAGAGACTGACGCAATTCTTTCTCTGTACAATCCTCTCGAGTGCCTTCTATTTTATTTATCGCGCTGTTCCATGCGAAACGGAATCGCGCGAGATTAATTGACGGTGTCGCGTCTTATCGCTAGTCGTAAACTCCGCCGGCTATTTATCACAGAGGACGCGTCTCCTCCCTTTGTTTCATGGCTGGAAGCAGGAAGCGGATCACTGCCAGCGAGCCCAGCGGACAGCGGAGTCAGCGACGTCGAGTCCAGCACGTCCTCCGGCGGCAACGAGGACGCGAATCTCTTACTGAAAGCAAGGCTCAATCCTAATTCGTCCCTCCAGCCGAGTCTGGCGTCTCATCACTCCCATCTGTCGTCGGGTGAGCTCGATCTTTATATATTTTGCGCACCATCATTGACGCGTTTAACATATGTGAAGAAAATGAAAGTCTTAAATCACTTAAATGTTGAACAAAAAATATTTTAATAATATAATTAATACTTTCGTGAAAAATTCTTTATTTATCTTCTTTTGCCAAAATTTGCAAGTTTGAGAGATTCGTAATAGGAATCGTTATTAAGAAATTTATCAATCTGAGAATTAAAGAATTAATATTCATTTAATTCATGCAAATCAATTTTGTTAATTGAGCAATTCTCTTTCAAGGAAATTTAGATCATAATAAGCATCAAATTTATGTAATGTTTATAGTATTAAGTCTTTCTAACGTCGTATAAATCTTAATTATTTTGGAGACAATCCGTTATAAATTTAATTAAACGTAATTGTAATTGTAAACTTAAACGTAATTGTAATCTAGATTCTGAATCATATAAGACAAAAAATTTTATTTTCGGTCGAAGAATCTTGGTAGCTTAATAATACTTATATAGATTTACAAATTTTCACTTTTAATTGCTCTTTCTATTTATAATTTTTATTTCTAATTGTAACTAGTGAATATTTTAAAGAATTAAGATTATTTATCGTCAAAATACTTTTGCATGATAGAAAATAGTTGTTTTAAGAGTAAGATTGATGAATTGGGATTTAACGTAAACTTCGTTCGTAAAACGAAAGTTCTGAAAAGAAGAAAAATGTCATTTCAAAAAATGTACTTTCGAAATATATTTCGTTATTGAGCGTATCTTATTGATTGCTTGATAGCAGCACTCGGCAGATCGGCCTGCCACAGCCCCGGTGTGTATCCGGGGTCGACGGCAAGCTTCCTGTCGCCCACCTATCATCCTCATCAGCATCCTATCACCTCCCAGTATCATCCACATCGGGGGAGTTCGCCACACCATCAGCACAGCAATCATACTATGGGTCCAACGATGGGACCGCCCCACCACCACCATCATCATCAAGCGCAGGGTCTCCAGCATCACTTGCATTACCGTCAACCATCCTCACGTAAGTTCTCAAACTCTAATTTATTACAACGACGTAATTGGTGGAATTAGTGAACCCCGCTGGGAAACTCTCCCCGAGAATCCTCAATGAATTCAAATAATAGGCGATAATAGGTAATAACAGATCATGCTCGGTCGATGTGTTGGACGCGATGCCCGATTAAAATTCCGACGTCATGAATACGTGAAAATTAAAGAAAAAAATCGACCGAGAGAGTAGCAAACTGACAATGAGATTTCGAAATTTTACCCTTTACTCCAGAGGTACCGGATAGCAATCTGCAGACTCGGATTTCATGCTAGACTTGCAATGAGGGGCCTTTTCTTTGACCTCGTTTACTTATCGGCAATTTCGACGATAGTAGATGTATCTCCGTTCTCATCACGATCGATCAGCGTGGCGGTCAGAAAGAGGAAGAGATAGGAAAGTGCGGGGAATGAAAGAGGATGAATACTCGATGAAACAGTGATTTCGATATCTCGCGGTGGCATCTGAAAACTGGATCGTCGTGACGTAACGACGCGGTAACCCGTAGAGTTTATTTCGCCTTCGTAGATATCGATTCGATTGCCGTCGACCAACCAAACGCGGAATATTTTCGCCTTTGAACCGACGAATAACCACGCACGCGATCGATCCTCTACGAGTCTATAGATTTATTCGTGCTGCTTAAAATCGCTTGAAGTTTTTGTATATTTAAAACGAGATATATATTCTGCAGGTATTGGAAAGAGAGAAAGTTAAGATTCTGAGTGTAAGAAGTGCAAGCAACACGAACAGACTTTATGATTTAGTGATATCTATATACTATATCGTGTTTTCTTATCACTTTTTGACTAGTGAGATAGATTCATAGTCGCGAGGCTTTGTTTTTCTGCGAATATAACGCATGCGCGGAATCGAAAATAAAAAATATTACATTGCCAAAATTGATGAAAAAAAAAAAATATATATATATATATCTTTGATAAATATGATGAAACAAGTTGTGAAATCTAAAGATGTAGATGAAATGAAAATATATGAGCGACATTTTTATCGTTATATCTGTGACCTCATAGAATGCTGTAACTCGAAATAAAATTATCACGAGTATAATATAGATAAATATTAATAGTACGTTTACTTCGCTGAAATGACTTAAATATTTTTACTTCTTATTTTTAAAACAAGTGGATAAATTTCTATGTGCCAATGGCGCTATTTAGGAGATATTAAATCGCTGACACTTTTATTTCACTTTCCGCTATAATAGAATAATAAAGGGAGACTTTGTATTGTTTTCTCATATTGTATAGAATAATAATCGTATAGTATATGAAATGACATCAATAAATGTCGTATTTATTAAATATAAAGTTTTAAATACACATAAATACGACTAACAAATACTTTACAGTTTTAATCTAGTAGACGAGAAAGTGATAAAGGAATTAGAACGTAAATCCGCGGTTTCAAAGACGATGCTGTTGCGGGACAGAAGAAGTTGGGTCGAATTTCTCGCCGAGCATCAAGCGTGTGAAGGCAGGAAGCGTCTAGTCCGTCTAAGACTAGAGAAGGACTTCCTCCGCGGCCAAGATGCCAAGTGAAAGGATTCGCCTTGTCGTCGCGGAGAACGTGGAAGAGAGCGATCTCACGAGCGTCGTCGTCGTCGTCGTCGCTGTCGCTGTCAACGACGACGACGTCGACACCTCCGGAGCGCGACTCGTCTCGTTCTCGTGACCTACTTGCCGTTCTCCGATTCGACGGCCCAGATTCGTTTCCTGCCACCGAAGCATTTCCGTCTACGCTCTCGCATCTCGACAGACAGACATGCAGTTTTCTCCTTCGATAGTTACAATCTCTATTGAGAAATAACAGATATTTTTTTTCATGAACTTCTATAAAATGATGTAAAAATTCTCTTTTTAGTTACCAACTATTTTCAAACTTTTCAAATTAAAATTCTGTCAAGGTAAAGCCAAAAGCCTACTCAAAATTGGCTAAAGGGCATGATTTATACTTACTTGTGCATTAAGTTAAAAAAAATGGTTGAAATTAATACACGAAAGAACAATTTTGCTAAAGTAGAGGAGAAGGTGGTATTATGGCACCCCAGTTACATTTTACACAATAACTTTGTTAATAATCAATATTTAAGTTTAAGTTAAAACTTGACAATTACATTCGTTAAAATGTTGTTGAATCGATTCTGGACTCAAAGTTACGAAATATTTGTTACTTAGGATACTATTAATAAAAATGAGGCGACATTGCATAATGACTCGAAGAAAAAATTGGTTGGTAATGTAGCCTTCCATATAAAAAGCCTTAAAATATTAGTTTTACTTAGAAAACAGTATTTGGTTACAAAATTAACAAAAAAGTAAAACAGCATACATTTTAAAATGTATGCAAATGAATGTATATGCATTTACATAACTTCTGTTCAGTATTAAAAATCTCAGTACTAAAAATAGTACACGTAATATAAACTATAAATTAACAGTAGAGCTACAATCAATTATCAAATAATTATTTTGATATGAAAACCTCAAAAAAAGAGGTCGTGAGTAATCAATATCTATAGAGAGCCACATTAATAAAATGCCATGCTATTGTTTAAATTTGCATAACTCAAAATATATACAGTCAAGTAATATGCTTAAATAGCAAATAACACATTCAAATATATACGTATATTCATGTGATAATACGTTCAAGTTTAAGAAAAATGAGGAAGTAAGTGTAATTAAATGCTAAAATGTACCTCAGAAACGTTTCGAAAAACTTGAAAGTAAAAATACGTTATAATAAGTGCTAGTTATAATTGAGTATTGGTAATATTAGCGTCATGATAGCGATACTGAACTAATAATTCCATAAGTAATCATTAGGATTCGCTATATAATAGCGGAGATATTAAGAGAGGCCACAATATATACACTGGCTATAATACCACCTTCTCCTCTATCTAAAAAATTATATAGGACGCTTAAACTGATTAGTAGAATATTAAAAAGTGTTAAAACTATTCACGGCAATGTTATCAACGTTCTGCATAATTATTTTGATATTTTGGCAACAAATTATTTTCAGATCTGTATCTAGCTAAATTTTTAGTTACTTCAACAAAAACAATTCTTTCCATGCATAATTTAACTGTAACTTATAGTAATTTATGTGCCAATTACATATATTGTATAATATATATATATTTTTTTTTTTTTTAGTGAAACTATAATTGTTTAATAAATAGAAATATAAGTATATAGTTACTAGTATTATATCTAATTATCACTAACATTATAGTAATTATAAAAATGGAGCTTTTTCCTGTAATTATTTTATATTTTATCATGTAATTATACTCACAAATACTGAATATTTTTTTCCCGGTATCTTTCGAATTTAGCTTATTCAAATTCAACAAGTCATCTGAGGCAAAGTACAAAAATCACATATGTATGTATAAATGCTTTCGCAATTTAAAAGTAGATTTTCAACGTTGAAAGTGAGCGTAATCCTCGAGACTCAATTCTAAACATAAAAATTAGTCCACTGTAATGAGGTTCTGAAGAAGGTTGCGCTTTAAGATTAAGCATGTCAGCGATCCTCAAATTGAGGACGTCGCGGAATAAACATTTTGCGAATTGCAGACACTTGTGGCATTAGGTTTCTATCGATTCACCTACGTCAGGTGTATTTTGCGTGGCCAACTCGTCCGCGTCAAGTATCGCAGGAATTAATTAGACGTGGACGATGTGGGTCAGTCGCGTTGGTTTGGACCGGTGCGCGCAAAGTATAAATTAATCAGGACGCAATCGACAAGTCGAGAAATTTCTCGACTGCGATCTTGCGGCATGGAACTCCTCTTTATTGCTATTAAAAGCGAGTACGACGCGGGATCGGCAGCTGATCACCGTCAACGAGCCTAGCGCACCTGGCGTCGCGAAGACAGCCGCGTACTTGGATCGACGCGGCGCCGCGCCAAGGTTCATTTCTTGACGAGCCGTAGGCTCGAGGTGAAAAGCGTTCCGGTATATACAATCGCGGTGAAATTCGCTGCGTGCGAGCATAGAGTATCAATTATCGCAGCGAAAAGAAAATAGAAGAAAGGCTACAAGCGCAAGGTATATGTATAGGCGGACGTGCACGTTGAGCGGAAGCGGCAACGCTCATTGCGTTTTATTATCATCGCAGACCGCAATTCCCATCGCGACATTGTCAACAATGAGATCGAACTTTCCTTAATTGAAAATATCCTGCGAGCGAGACTACATTTCTTTAATCTCGTTTTTACAATGTGCCTGACCATTTTCATCGGAGGGAAAAATTGCTGCAGCGTGTGTCTTTAGCGCATTTAAAGCACCATTCGTGGCCGCGCGGAGGTACGAATGGTCGCCGTTTACTGGACCGTAAATTGCGGCCGCTCGAAATATGCTAATAAGACAACGCCTTAATGAAAATTTCCGTGACTCGGAATGAGTTTGCCATTTGCGTATGTTGTCGATAATAACTTTACGGTTAGCTCGTAAAATTTTACGAGGAATGCTGCGAAAACGCGAACAAAGTAGCAGCTTGGTCATAATTTTATTCTAATATTCGCGTGAAATTTAGCGTTATTTTGCTTTCTCGATTGAAGCATTAGGTATAAATTGAGATGAAAATCAAATGCTCTTCTGAAAGTATTTTAACTTCATCACAGAAAGAACAATTCACTGAAATATTTAAAAATCTAGCTAGATATAGATCTGAAAACAATTTTGTTTGCACCACCAAAATAATTACGTTGGATGCTTAAACTAGATTTGTTGATTACTAGAATGTTAAAATTTTTCGCAGCAACGCTTAAACATTCTACATAATTATTTTTATTGTCTAACAAAATTATTTTCAATTCTATCTTTAGCTAGATATGAAGTATCTAGCTAAATTTTTAGATACTTTAGCAAAATCGTTACGAACAGTATAGATAAAATACTAAATATTTATTTAAGATAAAAGAGGAAATAGATACG